TATATATCTATATATATATATATATATATATATATATATATATATATATATATATATATGTGTATATATATATATTAACTGTCTTTAGTTGTTTCATTGTAATTTGTATGTCTACATATTTAAGATATAGGCTAAGGTCTGGAAAATCCGAAGGAAAACGTACCGGTACTTAATAATTCACTTAGTTTTAAGAGTTGTCCTGTTGTGTAATAAATAAAATAAATAGTTACATATTAACGTATAGTTCCGAATACTGTATTTACAATCAAGAAAACAGGTCTGATTTATAGGGCCTATAATTCAATAAAGTTTTCTCATTTTTGTATAATTCCAAATACGAACCATCCCCAATTAAAGACCATTTTCTGCAACCACATTATGTTTTATCTTTATAAACATTTTCTAATTTGAGACAAAAGCTGCTAAAGACATTTGTGTTCGTAACTGAACATACAGTAACTACAATATCATAAGGATAAACATAGTTTTTCGTCATTTTGTAATAAAACAACCTATAATAAGAAATATTTGAGTGTTAATTTTGTTTTCTTTTAAACTGCAAAAAGGGCTTTGCGAAGAGTCAAAGTTGAGTGTAGGCCTACTAACTCTCTAGCTACATGAGCCCCTTTTTATGAGGACGTATATCTTGTTTGAAGCCCATTGGTTCTCATCTGGTGGCCCGCGGGCCATCTCGGGCCTGCGAGTGCGCGAGAACTATCCGAACATAATAGTTTCCGTTAAGCTTGGACCTATATTTCTAACCTTGATAATTTTGCATTCTGTTTTGCCTACTAGGTCTGTAGCGATGTAATCAATCGCAGCAAACAGCAAAGAAAAGAAATAATGACAAGACAAATTTCTTAGGTCAAGATGCCATGTGAGCGTCTAGCGGCTTATTTTCAAAAAAAATCCTAAGGGGAACTCCTCTTCCCAAACCCTCGCACCCCACCCCTTCCTACTGCTCGCACCTGCTGCGCTCGGATTACGCTACGCGCCAATGTACACCTCTTGCCTTAGCCCTTCAAATGTTCAATAAACAATGTTGCGAAATATAAGAGCCCCTGCTGTAGCCATTGGTCAAAGCCGCTGTTTGCCATATTCTGAGGAAGATTCAGTGACAGTAGAGTACTGCATTATGCACATGCATTCTGAAGCGGACATGCAATTGCTTGTAGTTTATGTGCAGCATAAACACGATACCCGTGAATCAACTTTTAAGACAAAATAAAATGCGTGTGCGTGTGTGTGAATGTACCGTAGGTGATTATGTACTACATAATAAAAACAAATAAAACAAGATAAATTAATGAAAATGTCAACGATAATAATGAGGTTAAGGTGGTTATGGAATCTTAAGCCAGTAGCTATGATTATTGTCGTCATCACTCATTTCATTACCTTCTTCATCATTGTCGTCGTCATTATCACCTCATCGTCCTATAATTATTTCATATTTTTTCTGGTTATCTAAATAATAATAATAATAATAATAAACATTCTTCTGGTACGTCGAGTACGGTGGGACAATTGTAAAATTATCCTTATTCAAACAACGCGCACCTCGTTCCCCCGTCCACTCTAAAAAGAAAAAGCTAAACTCATGATTTGTAGTGCTCTATTAGCTAACTTTCACTGTCGATCTTTTCGTCTATCTGCCAATAATTGACTAAATAATTAAAGCTGCTTATAAAGTAATGTAAAGGCCTACCAAAAGTAAACACACTGTACAAAAGATTTATTTAAAAACTTTTAAATTTAAATTTAGTTGATAGTACATCTCCAGGGCCGGATTTAGGGGGGATGCTGGGCCGGCCCCGGCCCCTTCCTTTTGGAAAGTAAAAAAAGAAAAAATAACAGAAAGAAAGAAAAGGAAAAAATGATCGCCCAAAACACCTCAGAGGTTATTTTTTGGGCGTCTAGAAAACAAAAATTTCGCGGGGCATGCCCCTGGACTCCCTTGAGTTGAATTATCTTGATCCCCTTACATCTCTGGATCCGCCCCTTATCTCCATACCTAGAAAATCAAGCTGTAATGTCTCAAGCCGAATTAATTCGACAAGATAAAATTGTACCAGACTGTCTTTTACTCCAAATTCGAAAGATAATAGATTAAGATTTACTGTAGTTTATTTTCTTCTACGGATTTTATTGTATTGTGGAGATGAAATAAACATATTTACAATATTGATACTTTTACTTCCATTAGTAACCATTACCGTCATAGGCGTAGATCCCGGTGGGATGGGGATATATCCCCCCCAATATTTGACAAGGGGGGATGGTCCCTTGTATCACCCCCCCCCCCAATATTTTGACTATGTATGGGATAAAATGGAGCTTTACACACTTCAAAAGACCGTCACAGAAATAATTTCAATGACTTATGCGCTTACAAAGATGAAAAATTAGCATAATGTATTAATGTTGATAACAAAATTATTTTATCTGGTACCAATCTAAGCTCTTCTTTCCTTAGATGTCAGATGTGCTTGCAAAGCAAGCCACATTTTCACACTGATGGGTGTGTACGACATCAGTAATTTTATGTCAATTCCAAGAATTTTTAATCACCCCCCCCCCCCACCCCCCAATGAAAATTACTTTTCTACGCTACTGATTACCGTATCCATTCCCTAAACCTAGACTCGAAATAATAATGTTCGATGGGAACATATAGCTCTAGGCTAATTTAGTAAAAGAACGATATACGGTATACAGTATATAATAATACAGTAATCAATATCCCTGCCTCGAAGATTAAGATTCAGGATGGTGCCCGATGGATCATTAATTTATATATGAAAAGTAATAAAATATACAATACTTGATTTCATTACTTTGTGCCCGGAATGATGTTCGTTGGTATTAGTGTACTGTATAGTTGGATTACTTGCTAAAATGCGTCAAGGGCTCCGATGGTACTCTCGAACCAGGGCCCCTCAGAACTTTTACGCTACTGATTGAATCTATTTTGGAGCCTGACAAGCTGTAAATATACCATAGAATTTTTGCTCTCCGACGATTAGTAATCCCCACCCCGACAGAGGGAAACCCTCTCCTCCTCAGTTGAACTTTTTTTTCAGTGGCACCCACCATTAAGGCAGTGTATCGGATCTCTAAACAAATAGGCCTATTTTACAACATCAAAACATACAGATTTACAGAAAAAAAAAACACATTAAAAAATCACAAATATACACTTTTCAATGGCTTAAGTAAAGTAACAACAATGTATTTATAATTGAGGGAAGCGTTTATTTTCAATGGTGTAAAATGGATACGGAGGCCTATATACTTAATAAAAGCTTTAATTTTACTGTATGTAAAACAGCACATAATTACCGTCAAAATGTGTTATTGTGTGATAATAAAAACTTATTGGTGCCAACCAGGTTAGAAAAAAATGCAATTCTACGGGAGTAGAACATTTAATAGAATGTGTTGAGAATGTTGCTTCCGTTAGATTTTTTTACAGTCATTTAGAGGGGCGTTTATTCGAGGAAAAGTAAACGTAGGGCGTTTATTTGTAGAATGCTTTATTCCAAATGAAGCTCCAGGGTGGGGGGTCAGGTTATTCGCGGAGGCGTTTATATAAAGCGGGGCGTGTATTCGAAATACGGTATGGATATAATTTTTTCTGATGATAATTCTTTCTTGACATACCCCCTCAAGATTAGTTAATACCCCGTAGCTAATAATGGTGAAGTCCAATCAACAAACTTTAGCAACGACGGAAGTTGTAATCTTCAATGTTTGCAGTTTAAGTGTTGATTGATGTTTTGAACGTGTGATTGGAAGTCGTCACGGTAGATTATTATTAAAACATCCACTGGTCGATCAACAGGCACATGGCACGAGAAGGAGACCTGGCTATATCTAACAAAGTAAGTATTACTGCAGTTGTGGAGCTAGTACTGGCTGCTAGGTCGTGATTTGTTTTCCATACATGGGATTTCCCTTCCCCGTATTTTCCAACTTGAATACCGCAAAAAAAACCCAAAAAAAACAAACCACTGCTTGTTAACCGAACTTGGCCCTGTTCTTGACTCATAAATTCTCCTTAACAAGGAGGTATTAAATAGTTTGGCCTCAACTATAGATATAGGTCATGGTGGATATTTATGCAAAATTTAACTGAAACTTCTGAATCGACCATGGAGGTATTTCGACGAGACCTTCCATCATGTACAAGGCGACCTAGAGGGCCAAGGCAAATGGTCAGTGGAGTATAACGATTATTCGATTTCAGGATTGAGGCCTTTGGCTGAGGTTTCTACAGGTATACTGGTGTGAAAGAGAGGTAGTCAGTGGTGTACTGTATGCCGTGCTTATAGGGGTATTGAAATGGGGGACTTGGAAGGGGAGCTGATGGCAGAGCATGAAGGTGAAGTTGGAGGGATTGAAAAGTGAGAAGGTGATAATGATATAGTTGGCAAAATAGTACTGTGCATAAAAAATTTCTACGTGGGGTGCATGGGCGCAATCTTTTTATTGGGAGGACATGTGCCCCTCGCACACCCGTAGCCAAGCCCCGCAGTGCGTGGCAGATCTCCTTCCGTTGCCTGTTTTATGTTTTAAGGACGTGTACTTATATTCTCTACACACGTTTTGCTTCCAGTGCCGAGTTTAGACAGTATAGCTTAATAATAATATTAAATATTTAAAGAAGCTAGTGAATAGTTATTCTGGTTTACGGGTATGTTTGGCAGGTCAACATATGATATGATAATTAATAACCTAAGCCTATTTATTAAGTTAAACAGGGTTGGCCAACTGATGATTCCAATTACAAAAGTGCTAGGCCTTTGATGTAGGTGAGTCAAGGTGTAATTCACACCTGAGAGCACTTGAATGAGAAAAGCATGGTTCAAAGCACAAAAATTGTAGGCTTAGCCATTCGTCTGTGCTGTTTTATTTTAAATCAGTCATACTTGTACCCTTAGTTAAAATCATCCTAGTAACTAATCTGTGAGACATTCCAAACAGATCTAAAGTATTATTGATTAAAAATTTCTGCTGTATTCCTTTTAATTTAGGTGCTTTCATTAAAAAAGATCATCAGCCTAAATGAAAGTACCAGTCCGAAATAGGAAGCATGATATGGTCTAATTTTATAGCTCCATTGACCATTCTGGGCCATTTTAAAAATATCTGCTAATGCATTGGCCTGTGGTGGTCGATTTCAAAGTATCTCAATATTGTGAATTGTCACGCTCCCATTGAATGTCAAAGTCAAAGTGGTAGGCCGTCAATTGTTAAATTATTTTCTATATACTTACAACTTAACACTAGACCATTTTTATCATTAAAATAATTATTATTTATTATTTGTAATTTTATTTTTTTATCATAATTATTTCTCTGCATTAATATTATATTTTTATATTATATTGGTATACTAAAAATAATATTTATTATTTTTAGTCTTGATTTTGCTTTCTGTCTAATTAATCTCGTAATAATGTAACTGCAAATGGAAGATAATAATATTTGATCTCAATTCCCGTTTATTTCATGGGTTTACACACTTCAAATGTATTTTATATTAAGTATTCAGCTAGAACCCATTAACGATTAGAAACTGAATTTGTAATGGACTTTTCCAGAGTGTCAGTCAGAACTGGGCTAAAGTAGGAATACACACCTGTCCCACAAATTCATGTGTCTGGCAATGGTGGCACCAGCAAGTGGCTCTGGAGCTTCCCCATCAGACAAGTCAAGCCCCCACTGGCTGAGCTCGTTGGATAGTCAGACCAAAACAAAATTAAAAAACTTGTCTTTCACAGTCGTAGAGTGCCATTTCAAGCCATGCAGAGGTTCCTATTTAAAAAAAAATCTCCCTCCCCCTCATTAAGCATACAAGCTCAAGCCCCCCCCCCCGGACAACTTAGCCCACCAGAAAATGTACCCTAGAGCCGCCACTGGTGTCGGGGTACATTGACGCTGTCTAGCTACACCTCCAGTAATAATGTATCACAAATATTTTATGCAATATTATCCAAGATCGTCAATCACTTTACAAATATCTTGAGAGATACTGCATGTAAGGTAACCTAGCACAATGCACTTTTTTTCGGCTAAGCCTCACCCCTTAGATATTGTTTGCTAAGGTCCCACAAAATGACAGTGTAAAAGTAATTGAATAATAATAATTCCATACTTCTATAGCGCATTCTGCAAAAAGCCTCAATGCACTTTACAAAAAGAAAACAAGCAGTAAATAAATTTTGACCCAAAATGTGGTACTTAAACTAAAACTGTTCCGAAAAAAAAAGCATTTGCGCTATCGGTATATGTATCCAGAACAGGACACCGATATATATATACGGTTTTAGTCGAAGTCTCTTCGTGAAAACAGTGACGAAATATATACCAAAAAAATAGTACATGTTAATGGAAGAATTTGTAAATTGTAAACCAATTATACAGTGAACCATATAATTTGTTTCTATTCATTGTTAGCTTTATATTTCCCCCCCCCCCTCCGTTTTGTCACTAAATTTTAAAATTTCAATACATATCAATGTTATGACATACAGTATTACAAAAAGTGCTACACACTTATCCATTCAAAAAATATTGTTTCCCCGGTATACGGGTACTTAAACATTTTTGAAATTCTGACTAATCAGGAGAATATACTATTATTATTTCCTCTTTTTAAAATATATCAGTCCCTCTCTACCAATGGTTTTATATCAACCCAGTTCACTACTTCATGTTTATGTTAACAATTTGGTGTCTTTATTAAAGGAATACAGGAAGCAAAAAATGAAGAAAATTACATGGTAATAATTATTATTTAATTTATTTTTTCCTTTGATGCATTAGGAATCAAGATAAATTGGAATTCATCTCCATGACAACTGTAAATATTGATCGTTTTAATTGGCCGATTATGGAACGTGCAGATAAGCAAGGCTATTTCCTGCGAAGATGTTTATGACTTGATGATTTCTAAGAGGAAATTATCAAACAGGTGAAATATTTTCATGAAAGAATGAAATTATGTTTTTAAAAACATAATTTGGTAAAAACAGAGACCAATAAGGATTGTGCAATTATCCACTTTAAGAATTATTAGAACATGACGTCTGCTTGTGAAGATGACTGTTAAAGGGATTTTATAAGATTGTTATTAGAATCATTTGGAAAACAGAAGATAACATTTCTACAAGAAAACAAGCATGGAATTTGTGATTGACAAAAAGGAATGAACTTTTATTATATACATATATGATACATATCAATTTTAAAGATTTTATACAAATTTTAAAGGATTCATATAAAAATGGAGAAGTTAATTAGTTGTGTCCAAATTTGTGTATTGTTTACTTGTATTAACTTAGTGGTACCCTACAATACTTTGCATCGGTCATATGATTTGAACCCAACCACTGATACATTCATTGACGATAATATCAGCGAAAATTATAGTAAAGACTATCTTCAGCTATACTGGCGCTCTGCATTTGACCAGAGTCGAATATTAATGAGGTTCGACATCGACAAATTCAAGAAATTAAGTAAGTGGGGCTTGTTGGACTCAACGAGCCTCAGTAATACCACCCTACTCAGTGCCAAATTGAGGCTGACTTGTATAGCAGGAAGCTTAGATAATGTTGTACATGCATCAAGAATTGTTCGTTCATGGTCAGCGGAAGCTGTTACCTCTACCACTAGAGGCGAAAAAGGTGAACTATGGTCGATGACCTTCGTAGAAACTAGAGGAGAAGATGCGACCTCTGCAATTGAGAGTAAAACTTTGACTGTAGACGCCAAATTGACTGCTGAAAATGTTGTGTTCGAAATAGATATGAAGGAAATATTTGAGCATTGGTTAGAAAATACAGCGTCAAATCATGGTCTTCTTTTATGGTTACAGAATACAACATCATCAGGCGCCAATGACATTGTGAAATTTGCCTCCACTGAATATGCTCTAGTATCCTTCCACCCAGTTATAAATGTAGTTCTTGAAGATGAGGTTTTCATTAAAGGTATGTGTTTAATTTTTTTTAAACCTTTTGTAATTATGGTAACTCAGACGACGTTATAAAGAGGTGGGAGATGGGGCATACACGGATGTTAACCAAGTAAAACAAGCCATATAATTCAAATCATTGAAGTGCAAGGACAACAAAATTGATATTCTGCCAATTATTAGTCTGTTAAAACTTTATGGTGAAAGTCACTAAACAAATTTGAATATTTCAGAGTAATATTTATTACATTATCAATAACAATTCAACATTTGAAACTCAATAAAATTAAATGAAATTCAAATAATACCAATTAAGGGCATTGTAAACAAAAATACAAATTTTGGGGAACACTTTTGAACAAAATATGCCTATTCAAAGTATGCAGATTTAATTTGATTGGCTATAACATTTGCTGTGTCTGAAGCCCAAACATTTTGCTGTGTCTGAAAGCCCAAACATACTGTTTATAGCTTGAGAAGGAGTTGATTTTAAAATGCAAGTATCCTTTAATCTTTGTTGCATTTTTATATTTTACTGTAGTCTTGCAGTAGAAGGAAGATCAAAGAAGGTTCTTTGGGATTTTTTTTTTTATAACAGGAAACAAAACTATTGATTACTTGCCTTGAGGCTAAACTGTTTCCTCAATGGTTTTGATATTAGTACAGTAGTAATACTTTTTGATTTTTCAATACCGGGCTTAATCTTTTGTAACTGCATGATTAATGCTGTGAAACACAATTGAAAAATTGCCTTTACCATGAACCAATAAATAGGTCAAGAAACAATAGAACACTACAATGTATGTAAAAACATGAATTCCACGGAGGAGACTTACTGTTTCTCAACCCAGATTTTATGATCTGAGTGTCTTTTTTTTTTGTAATACAGTAGGTCATTGTATGTACTTGAAAAGAAGCAAAAGCGAAATGAAGTTACTTTCTATGAAATCTGGGAAAACCCTCAAGAAATAGAACAATGAATTGCTCAAAAGAATAAAGAAAATGTTTTGAACATTTTCCAATAAAACAGATCAGAACAATTTTTAAAGCTCTGTTCAGACTATTAATTTTTTTGTAACAAATTTGTGTGATGTGCCCATATATGGGCATGATGTGCCCATATATGGGCATGATGTGCCCATATATGGGCATGATGATGTCATGTTACACCCAAATGTGGGCACATTGTATCACAGTTGTTTGTTACATAAATCTCTACAGAGCTTAAGTTTTTGAACAAACTTTAGAATAAAGTTCTAGATTGACAGTTCTAAAGATAAACTATCATGGAAAGATGTCTTTGATGGAAAGACGGAATTCCAAGATAATTTTCTTGGAAAGATGGGATTATCTTGGAAAGCCGGAATTCCAAGATAATGTATCTTGGAAAGACAGAATTCCAAGATAAATTATCTTGGAAAGACGGATTCCAAGATAAATAATCTTGGTGTACCGTCAAAGTTGAAAGATAAATTCTCTTGGAATTGGAAAAAAATTTTAGGGGGTAAAAAGAAGCGTTTATTACTCTGAAACGTGAATCAATATAAATACCTAGTCCTAGAATCAATATAAATACCTAGTCCTAGAATTTTCATTCTTTAAATTCATGAAAATACAGCTCCTGAAAATTTAATACATGGGATCTTTCGGCGATTCCCCTACCCCATGGAAATTTGACGGTTCCCAGTCATGAACATAATCATAAAAAACTCATACGTACTGTACATGGAAAATCCTTAAGCATATATTACTCATTTAATTTCTTAATCAATGTATTTATATATAGAAAGAGGAAGTTAGGAGATTAGGGGTAATTACAGGTTTACGGATGCAGCTAATCCCTGTGGTCTGGTGGAATGCTTTAAAACCACTATCAAACAGGTTAGAAATTACAGTATTTTCAGCATTGCAACCCATGTTTGTACTTTACATCATTTATTGTTTATTTTGACAATGAAGGATAGGGGTGTGGCTTTGTTTGGCCTGGAGTGGGGGTGCAAAACAGCCTTGTGGGGTTGCAAAAATTGAGAATGCATAACTAAATCCTTAGTATTCCAATGAAAATTTAATGGTCATTTTTGGTATTTTAACTCACTCAGTGGAACTCATTTGCCATCATGCACACCAGCCCTCAATCTCCCATGCCTCAGCCTATGCTCATGAAGGGATTTATCCAACTTATCTAGGAGGGATTAAGTCTTCCTCCCTCAGGGCCAATGCCATATTCTTAAGCAGTCAACCCACACTACTCTAGGGTATGTGATCTTTCAAGCTAGGCAAATGCTGCAGCAGTTGTTGTTGGCAGTCGTGATTCCATGGAGAACAGCAACGCGACGAGCTGCTCGCAACTGATTGCACTTAATGAATCCAATCAGACTGCCACTGACAATCAGTATACTGCCTTGTACTCTATCTTCAAGCTCGAACACAGAGCGGAGATTGGGACATGCACGGTATAGTCTAACAGTTGTGAAACCATCAGTAATTTTACCCCTTGACTCTGACCAGATGCTCTAGATAACCCCTTGTTTTACAGCACCCCCTCTCCTGTCCGCAAATTCCTAGAGACATCACTGTTCTGGGTAAAGGTATTTATAATAATACAGGAACTTGTACCGCGCCTTTTGCCACTTGGGATACAAGGCGCAATAAAAATAAATAAAAAAGATAACCAATTGGTGATCAACAAAGACACCAGAAATGACAAAAAAACAGAAAAATTTGGACAGTTAGATGAGATTTACTTAGGGAACAAATGTTTCTTAAGAAGCCGACGAAAACCAAGATAACAAGAAGCATGTTGTAACTTGCTAGGAAGATATCAATTTAAAAAAATTATTGAATAAAAATTTAATGCAGTGAATAAATATTTCATTATCAATAAATAATAAGTAACATATAGAAAGAAATCTGCCCAAAACAAATCTCTTCGTAATAATAAAAAACATGGACCTTGCATATTTAAACAAAATTTTATGTATATTTTTTTTTATTTTTAACATTTTATTAAATATTACTATCACATACTGTCTCTCAGCAGCTTGTACCATGGAAAGAAGACCAAACGTTGAGTGGTATTTACACATCTTATCTATCTTCTAAATTTACTTTCAATATTGATTCCCATTCTAAATGTACACATAGTCGAACTCAAAATAACTCATTGTAACACAATGGACATGACTATTTTATCTTTAAAAAAAATTTTAATTCTTAATTAATTATTATTGTATATTTAGGAATGTTTACAGTATGTTAATTACAGTACATTGCTTTTCAACATTTGTTTAATATGTAATTGTACCCCTTTGAAAAACAGTAGGCCTACTTTGTACTGAAAGTGCATGCAGTAAAAAGATGGAATAAATAAATAACGTTTTTTATTACAAACACTATTGTAGTTCAGTGATATACTTTTAATTAAAGAACATACTAAAATGATGATTTAATATAGGAATTCTTCTTCAATGCTCCACTGTACATTGAAGTAGGTTTAGTCTTTCATCATGACATTAGATGGTTGAAACGCAATAAATCTTTGGTTGTTAGTCCGATGGGACATGACAAACTAACTCAAAGTCTTCCTTAAGCAATCAATAGTAATTTGATGATTTAATAGATAATTATAAGACAGTTGTGAAATGTGGTTTCATCTCTTAAAAATAGGCTCCCAGCGGGAGTGTGTGTCTACTACCTTATACAGGAGTTTTTGTTTTTTTAATTTTATCTTATGTTCTCAAAATGCAGATGTGTGTATTATTGTAGTGTATCTGGATTTTTTATGAAAATTTTCTTTCATAACAATATTCTGTATAGGCCTACTATTATATTACACTAAAAACACTTTGAAAATGAGTAACTCCTGGAGTTACCATGTTATGTCGTTGATCACGAAGAGTACTACCTTGTTCTAGAGGGCGTCCTTCAAATGACGGTAAAAGGCGTTCGTGGCGAATGCATGCTGCATCTCTATAACGTGTGTTCGAGTTTCGAACGCAATTTTGTTCAAGTTCCAAACGCTATTCGATTCAGAGCCATAGATAGAGAGTTTGGCCAACTCTGTTTCACGGGATTCGATATACGCGTATGTGATTGGGTGGATCGCAATCATATGACTTACACTGGCCATGTTGTCACCAAAACAAGACATTAAAGCTATACGCGCGCATGCGTCTGGGCTGTTTAGTAACGACATGGCGTCCATGCGCCAAGTTGGCCAAACTCTATCTACGGCTCTGATTCGATTGTCAATAGAGCACCCCCTACATCGTGGTAGTACCTATCATGCCTAAACCGGATTTACCCTTTTCCGCCATCTTTAATTGCTACATCATGACATAGTGTCATTTGTGTCTATGCCCCCATTGGGGGCAGTAGACACAAATGCATAGTTCATGTACGTTAGACTTTAACCTACATTTTTTTTATGAACAATATTTAGATTTTGTGCAGTGTTGAAGAAGGTATACTGTAGATCACTGGATTCAACATTCAACATTTTAGTTAATTTTCTGTTTATTAGTTAACAGTAGAACCCCTTCTTTGTAACACCCCAATAAAGGATCACTATTTTGGCCAGAAAACAAATGACATATATCTTTTACTATGGCCAACCCCTTTTCAGGGGACATTGCCAGCGGTAGATTAGAGGGGGCCCATGGAGGGACTTTAAAACTCAGCCCTAACATATTATTAAGGGAACACTTTTTCTGGTCTCCTGGATGTTCTCTTAATAGGGGTTTTATTCTACTGTGTTTATTTACTTATGTCTCAATCAGCAATGTGCTACAATATCTATTACTGTTATTAATATATTACTTATTTATGTAATGCATATAGTCAGTATACTATATGGGCTATTGTAAAACCTGTATATCGAATTGTTCTTAAGGCCTCTTTTCTTGCTTGTACAACCATGTTGTCAGGAAGTCGCACTTCCCCTCCTGACATGTGCTTCTTACTACTCCAACTTGTTTGATTCTTAGAAAAAGTTGGTTGAAGCGGATTTCTGATTTT